AAAACTCCAAACTCCCCCACTCTTGCTCTCAAAGCCAGTCTTAAAGGTGCAGAACTTAATATATAACATAAACCAGACGATTGGGGATACCAGTATCATAAAGTCACCCCAGGACAATATTTATAATATATATTATAATATATTATATATAATTTTATATATTATATATAATTATATATATTATATATAATTATATATTAAATATTTATTATATATTAAACCTTTATTATATATTAAATATTATATATTAAACCGTTATTATATATCAAATATTTATTTTATATGTTACATATTTATTATATTTATATTTTTATTAGGTATTTATTTTATATATATATATAAAAAAAACCTAAAAATTTTTCTCTTCCTACAGACAGAGATGTTAAAATAGATGGTCACATGGCCACCACCAGCTCCCATCCCCAGTGTGTTTCTAAATATATAATTGATCAATTGCCCCCTCCAGCAGATCTCTGTGAGACACTAAATGGCCTCTCTCTCATGGCTCTGTTGCTCCTCAGCCTCTGCTGGCATCCAGAGATGCTTGTGAAACAGATTAGATTTCTTCTAAGGTCAACCCCAAGGAAATTAAGCATAGAATGTAAACTTGAGGCTGCTCCTAAGCTTGGAAGCTGTCAAGGAGCTGATCCGTGAGGCAGCCTGATTGCATTGCTGTAGGAGTCATTATAGGGTTAAAACAGATGATGTTTTCCCTCCATGTCATTGGGAAATGTTCTCTCCAGAATCCTTAGAGGTGGATTTACCATCACTTCATAAAGCACAGCCCTGCTTTTTTCTTTTGGAGGCATAAGGAGATGTCATTTGGTGCATTCATGGTGGGGAGGACAGAATTGGGCCTTTCTTTGTCATGGGACAAGTTTGATTATCTATTTGTTGTTGTTCTTTGCCAGAGGTAGGGAATAGATCTGCAACAGGCAGATCTCCACTGTAAGCAGTTGGTTTTCATCCCTGTGATGCTTTATGTGACTGCAGTGAGCTGGATCCTCTTGTTGTGCTGTGTCTGAGGGTGGTGGGGGACTGGCCTTTAGGTCAAGGAAAGGATTAGCCATGGGACTCATTCCCAGAAATGCATGGAAGCTGCTGCAGCTTTGTCAAGGTCGGTGGAATGCATTGGTGCTGTGATCCAGCAGATCCAAAGGGGCCCTGAGATCCCACGCAGCACAGCGGTGGTGAGGTGGGAAGGGCTCAAAGCTGTGAGTCCCTGTGCTCTGGAGCAGGGAAAGAGAGAGAAGAAAGGGGAAAGAGAGAGAAGAAATGGGAAAGAGAGAGAAGAAAGGGGAAAGAGAGAGAAGAAAGGGGAAAGAGAGAGAAAAAATGGGAAAGAGAGAGAAGAAAGGGGAAAGAGAGAGAAGAAAGGGGAAAGAGAGAGAAGAAAGGGGAAAGGGGCACCTCGCCAGCTCCAGATGGGTAAAGGTCCCTTGGCTGCGGCACCACCTGTGCCTTGGGAAGCAGCTGGGAGTCCAAAGAGCACAGCAAGATCAAAACCTGTGGGCACCAGGCTGGGGAGAGGGGCAGAAGCCACACCTGCCTGCCAGGGTTTCCAGCCAGCCCCCCTCACCACTCATTTCCCCTCTGCCTTTCCCTGCATTTGAATTCTCTGCTCCCACCCCGGCTGTGTTTCCTGGCTCGCACAGGGAAGCCCAGCTGCCATCACTCTCCCACCAGGATGTCTCTTAGCCAGGGAAGGCTTTGCAGCCCAAACTGCCTCCAGCCCCCAGTTGTGCACTGGAATTCGGCCGGGCAAAACCTCAGACCCTTGTGGAATTTAACAAGAGAGAGATCCTGTGGGGCTGAGAAATTGAAAAAGGCAATTCCCTCCTAAAAGGTGACTCCTAGCTTGAGATGGAGAGTTTTCCTTGTTCATATTTTATGTTACATCAGAGGAATATTTATATTCAACCCCTTGGGCTTCAAGGTTTGTCTCTGGGAAGTGGTGTGTGGTATTTGGGAGCTCACTGGGAT